CACTTGGACGAGAAAAATATTAAGTGGTATAAATGTGATAAATGTGATTACAAAGCAAAAGAAAACGCCGGCTTGAAAACTCATATCGTGAACCGACATACAAATTCACGCGATATTAAATGGTACGAATGTAAAGATTGCCCCTTCAAATCCAAATGTACCAGTAGTTTAAATCGTCACATAACCGTGCGCCACTTAAAGGATGAAGATGTTAAATGGTACAAATGCTACAACTGTCCATATAAAGCTAAAACAAAAACCACATTGAAGACTCATATAAATGCTCGGCATTTGGACAAAGAAGCCATTGAATGGTATAAATGTGATAAATGCGATTATAAATCAAAACGAAACAGTGACTTGAAAACTCATATCATGAGGCGACATACAAATCCACGCGATATTAAATGGCACGAATGTAAACTTTGTCCCTTCAAAGCCAAAGGTCGCGGTAATTTAAACCAGCACATAAACATACACCACTTAAAGGATGAAGATGTTAAATGGTATGAATGCTACAAATGTCAATACAAATCTAAAAATAAAAGCACATTGAAAAATCATATAAATGCTCGGCATTTGGACAAAGAAGCCATTGAATGGTATAAATGTGAAAAGTGTCCACACAAAAATAAACTCAAGTCACAGTTAAAAATTCATGTAGCTAGGCATCATTTGGACAGACAAGGGCGTAAATCGTAGGAGTGCAAAGAGTGTACTTGCAGGGATAATTTTAAACACCACATGAAGTTACGACACGGAAATGGAAAAGACATTCTGAGGTATGAATGCAAAATTGTCCATACAAAAGCGACGTCAGAGCGAACTTAAGACTTCATGAACGCAAAACACATGAAGAAACTGTTTAATCAACGCAAGCACTGCCCTGGGATGAGCCCACTTATTAGTGTAATTTTTTCCCGTTTACAATCTTTGTTAAAATGAATTTTTTATATTATTATTATGTTTTTTTAATATTTTGTATAACTATAATTTATATCATTTTCTTTCCTATTTGTTCTTATTTCGTATATGTGTATGATTTAATAAGTAACGTAAATGTACCTATACGAAAACATTACATAATAAAAGTTCCTATCTGCCAAAAGTAATAATATAAAATGTAAACTGATTTTTTCCTAATGTCGATGTTTACGAGTTTTTTTCCAAATTCGATGAAGTTTATCGATTTTCGATTTTTGGTCCCTTCAGTTATTCAGTTCAACGGTTTTTCAGTTTTTCGAATTTTCAATTTTTAGATACATATTTTAATTTCCGGATTTTTTAAATTTTGAATTTTTCAATTTTTCCTTTTTTCGATTTTGCGATTTTTCCGATTTTCAGTTTTTTCATTTGCAGTTTCTGGATTTTTTATTGTTCGATTTTTCAATTTACGATTTCTCAAGTTTTAAATTTTTTCAGTTTTTCATTTCTTCAGGTTTTCGATTTCTCAACTTTTTGTATTTTAATTTTTCCGTTTCTTATTCATTTTGATATTCCAAGAGTAGAATCACCATCGTGGTGGAAGAACAGCCACAACCAGGGGCCCCAAACTCCGCTCGCTTGATTCAGAAAGTTTCATTTAATTTCATTTGAATTTAATCCAGAGTTCAGTAAGTTTTTTTTTTTTGGAGCTGAAAAGTGATTGCGATTTGCCCCCATTGGGCAGCCTGAGGGCAAGTCACGAGTCATCATCGCTCGCAGCTTTTTTTTCTTTTTTTTTGGCAGTGGAGGAATAAATATTTTTGTGTCCCCCATAAATGTTGTGTTTTATTTAGCGGCACTTTTCCAACCTTGGGGTCCACAACTTGCATCTGAACGCATCCCGCGATTTTTCAAAAACACAACGTAGGGTTCCAATTTGTTAGATGATCATAGCCGAGGCCAAATTTTGAATTTTTAAATTTTTTTTTTATGTCAATTTTTAGACCATTTTAATTCAAGTTAATATTTATAGTTGATTATTGTCATTAAGCGTAAACTTAGGCTCCTCGATATTTTATTACTTCTAGTTCCAGTTAATACTTAGAAAAAAAGTCGAAAACTTGCATATCATTTACTACAATTATTTTTAACTATACAGAGTGTAATATCAGAGAATATAGAGAACGTCATAGTTTAAATTAAATGACGGTTGAGGGGTTGACGACTCCTCGACTTATGTTGTCAACAGTATTTATTTCTAACTAGGAATAAAATTAGCAAGCAAAAATGTCATAATATTTTTAACGACGCGTTTTACTTTCGATAAATTGACACTAGATTTACCACAATTTTACAAGCTGCTTACTGTTTCCTTCAGTTTAATTCAGATCACACGAATTACAGTTCGTCGTCTGAGAACTTGTTTGATCTACAGACCAGAGCGCACTCAGGCCAATGTCGACTCTAAGCGTTCGGAAACGATTTGATTTATAACCCATGATTTTTTTTGCTGTTTTAACTTTCGAATTCTCAGTTTTTCCAAATTTTAGTTTGGAGACTCTTCAGTTTACTCCTATTTATTATTCAATTTTTGGATTTTACAATTTCTTAATTTTTCAATTTCTCGGTTTTCAGTTTCTCTCTTCAATTTTGCGATTTTTAAATACATATTTCGATTTTTCAATTTTTTTCTTTTATAAACTCTTTATTTGTCGATTTTTCAATTAATTTATTTTTCAGGATTTTTGGTTTTTCAGTTTTTCTATTTTTTCAGGTTTCGATTTTTCAACTTCACTTTTTTGATTTTTCGATTTCTCAATTTTTCAATTTTTTAATTTCTCAGTTTTTGGACATTTCAGTTTGGGATTTTTCAGTTTACTTGTTATTCAATTTTTCGATCTTACGATTTTGCAGGTTTTTGATTTTTCAATTTTTCGATTTTTTAAGGTTTCGATATTTCGACTTCACTTTTTGATTCTTTAGATTCTCAGTTTTGGGATTTTTCAGTTTATCGATTCGTCAGTTTTTCTTTCATTTTTCAGTTTTTCGATATTTCAGTTTTGGGATTTTTCAATATTTCTGTTCTTCAACTTTTCCAATTTTGACTTCTGGATTTTTCGATGTGTCGACTGTTTACTTTTTCGATTTTTAAATTTTAGATTTCTCGATTTTTTGGTATTTTAATTTTTCAATATTTAAAATTTTAGATTTTTCGATTTCTCGATTTTTCATTTCATCTCTTCCATATTTCAGTTTTTCAAGTTTTCGAATTTTTCAAATGTTTCGATTTTTCGACTTCCCGGTTTTAGATTTTCTGTCTTTCAATTGTCGTTTTTTCAAATTTCCGATTTTTCAATTTTTCAAATTTGACATTTATAAGCTGTCAATTTTTCGATTTTTCAATTAATTGATGTTTTGATTTTCCTTTCTTCGAGTGTTTCGATTTTCCTGTACTTCAATTCTTTAATTTTTTGATTTTTCAATTTTTAGATATTTTAAGGTTTCTATTTTTTCCACTTCACTTTTTTGATTTTTCGATTTTTTAGTTTTTAGATATTTCAGTTTCAGGATTTTCCAATATTTCAGTTCTTCGGCTTTTCTATTTTTGACCTCTGGATTTTTCGATGCGTCTACCTTTTTACTTTTTCGATTTTTCAATTTTTGGATTTTTCAATTTTAGATTTTTCAATATTTCTTAATCTTTCGATTTTTCGACTTCCTGGTTTTAGATGTTCTGCTTTTCAATTTTTCGATTTGTTAATTTTTCATTCCCGATTTATAGAGATTTGATTGTTCAGGTTTTCGATTTATCAGTTTTTCAATTTTTTATTTTGGCCTATTTCGGTTTCTCAGTTTTTCCAGTTTTCCATTTTTTCGTTTTTTGATTTTTCCGCTTTTCCAATTTTTCAACTTTTAACTTTTTGTTTGTCGATTTCTCGATTTTTCGATTTTTCGACTTCATCAATTTTCGATTTCTCGTTCTTTTGATCTTTCAATCTCTCAATTTTTCAAATTTTTAAGTTTTTTGATTTCTCGATTTATCGAGATTTGGATTTTTCGATATTTTGATTTTCAATTTCTCAATTTATATTATATTATTTTGGCTTATTTCAGTTTCTCAAATCTTTTGATTTTCCGATTTCTCGGTTTTTTCGATTTTCCAGTTTTTCGATCTGTCGATTTTTCAGTTATCCGACTTTTTAAATTTGGGAGTTTCGATTTCTCGATTTTTCGTTTTTCGGTTTTTAAATTTTAGATTTTTGAATTTTACATTTTTTCGATTTTCTGATGTTTCATTTTTCGATTTTCGCTTCTTCGATATTTCGATTTTTCAATGTTTCGGTTTTACGATTTTTTAAGGTTTCGATTTTTCGATTATCTATTTTAATTTTTCTTTTTTTTTTCTCACTGTTAATATCATACAGTGTATCAAAAACAACCAGAAAAATTGTCACTAAAAACATTTAAAAATTCATACAAAATAGAACACAGTGTTTCCAAAACATATTCCCGAAAAAAATCCATTGTGTTATTACGATTTCAACAATATTCTTAGTTTAAGACATTGTGCTAGTATAAAACACAAATAAATAATTAATTCTTAGTTAAACAAAATATGTAAAATCATCTAAATATGTACCAAAAATATTCACTTAGTCGTTATAAAAACCGACCAAACAACTATTTCCCGCAGAAATTATAGTCCAAACCAATCAAATCGCTTATGAACGCTTAGAGTCGACATTGGCCTGAGCGCGCTCTGGTCTGTAGATCAAACAAGTTCTCAAGCAACGAGTTGTAGTGAAACAAATTTTTTATTGGCATCGACTATTTATATTTGGCGCTTGTTTTTGGCGGTTGAGGACTGCTGTGTCAATAACGGTGGTTTTGCAAAATCAGCCTGTATGGCGCATTTATATTAATCTATGATATACTATTTGATAATTTTTGGATGACCTTTCATTGTACTTTTTTTGTTTGTATATTTAAAAAACAAAAATTGATTTAAAAAGCGGACAAATTTGAGGTTATATTGAAACTGCAGCAAATTAAATAATTTTCTCAATGACATTCCATTGCCTTACAGAAATCTGTAACTTGAGGAACTCGGAGGCATTGTTTAACTTGGGAATTTTTCCCTTTTAACAGTTATTTTACAAAAAATTTCTATCAAGTAAATATACAATGTGATAATGTTTGGGTAACCCGCGGTAACCTTTCATTCTACTTTCATGTTTGTATATTAAAAAAATAAAAATCGATTTAGAAAGCCAACAAATTTGAGGTTATAACTACAGCTCATGCTACAGCAAATTAGACGCTTTTCTCTCAAGTCTCAAAGTACGAGGTAAGAACAAACTTGATGTCCACTCCACACACTTATAAACATTTTTAGATAAATCACCATGTCGTTACTAAAATACTCAAAGAAGCTCGTCCAAATGAAGCCTTCCCTGAACAATGTCCACCGCTGTAAGGTTTGTCCATATTTCACAACCTCATTTTTGCTTATGGTGAACCACGTTAAACGCCACCGGGCTCCCCCACAATATTTCAACTGTGAAAATATTGACATCGAAACTTACCACTGTGAGGACTGCAATTTCCAGACAGAACTAACACTTCTTTTCAAGCAGCACGCCCGACAGTGTTATAGGAAATCTGAAGAGAATTTACCAGAGCAAGTTTACTCAACTCAAAGTTTCCAACTCAAAGTTTCATTTGCAAGAAGTGCAGTTTTGAAACACATTTCAAGCTGAAGTGGCTTCAGCACAGTACACAGTGTTTGGGAAGCAATAACTTTCAAACAGTAACAACTAATGGTAAAATTATCATATGGTATCACTGCAATCAGTGTGAATGCAGATTCAAAAGGAAACAAAACTTGCAGGCCCATAAAATTTTAAAACATTTGAGTGATGATCAACGTAGGTGGTATTATTGTGGAGATTGCTCCTATAAATCCATTCTGAAATCCCGTTTAAAAGTACATGTAATGAGGCATATGAACAAACCAAAGAGACGGATTTCTTTAAAAACTCCTGGTGTTATGGAGTATATGGATGAGCAGGGTATTAAATGCTATAAGTGTGAAAAGTGTCCACATAAAACTAAAATTAAGGGGAATTTAATCAAGCATATAAACTCCTTGCACTTAGATGAGAAGGATATTACATGGCATGAGTGCCAGATTTGTTCATACAAAGGTAAAAATGTGTTGGCTTTGAAGAGACACATTATTGTACATCATTTGAAAGATAAGGATGTTACATGGCATACATGTCAAAGCTGTCAATATATGACTAAACATCGTAGAGTATTAAAGGAACATATAAATGGGCACCATTTAGATGAACAAGATATTAAGTGGCACGAATGTGAAGAGTGTTCGTATAAAACCAAATATAAAAGCAACTTGTCAAATCACAAAATGGTATCACACCCTACTGAAGACAGTAAGTGGTATGAATGTAAAAAGTGTTCATACAAAACTAAGTATCGACTTGCTATACAAAAACATGGAAAACTACTTCACAAAAATGAAGAAGATATTAAATTGTACGAATGCCAAATTTGTTGTTTTGAAACTGAACATGTGTGGTCTTTCAAGACCCACGTAATTACCCAACACGAATGTGAAGAAAATATTCAGTGGTTAAAATGTGACCAATGTCTACATCAAACTGAAAGTAATACGCATTTTCAACAACATTTAAGTGCACATTGTACCGAACAAAACAGTCCATGCTATATTAAATGGTATGAATGTAAAGTTTGCCCCTACAAAACCAAATGGAAGAGCAGTTTAAACCGTCACATAAATGTACACCACTTAACGGATGAAGATGTTAAATGGTACGAATGCCAAATTTGCTGTTTTAAAACTAAATATTTGGAGTCTTTCAAAACTCACACAATTACCCAACACGGTGGTGAAAAAAATATTAAATGGTTTAAATGCGACCAATGTCCACATAAAACCAAACGTAAGATGCGTTTAAAACAACATATAAATGCTCACCATTTAGATGCGCAAGATATAGAATGGTACCGATGTACCGAGTGTTCATATAAAGCCAAAGACTTACCGTCGCTAAATAGACACATTAAAGTACGCCACTTGGACGAGAAAAATATTAAGTGGTATAAATGCGATAAATGTGATTTCAAATCAAAAGAAAACGCCGGCTTGAAACGTCATACCACTAGGCGACATACAAATCCACGCGATATTAAGTGGTACGAATGTGAAGTTTGCCCCTACAAAGCCAAATGTAGCAGTCATTTAAAGCGTCACATAAACACACACCACTTAAAGGATGAAGATGTTAAATGGTACGAATGCTACAACTGTCCATACAAAACTAAAACAAAAAGCGCATTGAAAGATCATATAAATGCTCGGCATTTGGACGAAGAAGCCATTAATTGGTATAAATGTGATAAATGTGATTACAAAGCAAAACGTAAAACTAACTTGAAAATTCATATCAATGTGCGACATACACATCCACGCGATACTAGATGGTACGAATGTAGTGTTTGCTCCTACAAAGCCAAATCTAGCAGTAATTTAAACCAGCACATCAGCGCACACCACTTCAAGGATGAAGATGTTAAATGCTCAACTAAACATGTGAGGTCTACAACTGTCCATACAAAGACAAAACAAAAGGCACATTAATTGGGCGGCATTTGCCCATTAAAATGTATTTTTTATTTTATTATTTTTAATTTATATTTTTTGTTTTTTTTTTAATATTATGTGTATCATTAATTTATAGTAAATATTGTCATTTTGTTCTTATTTCTGCTCACGAAACAGGAAATAAACTTAAATCTAAATGAGATTGTGTATGATATACTGTGATAACCCAAACATCCCGCCTTAAATTGACACTAGCACGAGCGGAGTTTGGGGCTCCTGGTCGTGGTTATTCTTCCACCGCGACGGTGGTTCTATTCTATCGACAACACATGCCACCCAGTACCCCTCTATGACCAAGAAACGTGCCACGCGAAACAGACCGTTACGGTCGCAAACTCGTGGCTAGGTCTCGACTATTGGGCCAAATCGACAGCGTCACGTCATCACGACCGTCCCTGACTTTTATGCAAGATGGTGCGGCCGCCAGTTCGACGAGGAACCGCGCACTCCGCTTCCGCTACGTGTTTCTGTGTTATTTTACCTCAGTTCCATTTAAATGACTGAACCAGTGTCAAAGTTTCAAAGAGCAATAAACAACATTTATTAAATTCGCCATACACTCTCGTGAAATTTTTAAACGGCAAAGAATTCTTATTTGAGATTAAGATTAGACATCAGACAATTATATGATGAAAACATTAATCAACAAAATATTTACATAAAAAAATTAGCAAAGATTTAAAAAAAAAAGATCTGGTGTGAAGTAAAACTTGTGCAGACAATAGCATTATGAAATTACTGTACCTCATCGATAAATCCAATAGATGTCACTACAGTAGGCGGAGGATCTGAAGATAGCTACAGAATAAAAAAAAGGCGTCACGCGAACGGCTTGAGGAGACGAAGTCTTGGACTTTGGACTTATATCTAGGAGGCCTTGCTATAGTTTCGTACGATTTTTTGGAGAGCTTCATAATGATTCGTTAAAGATGAAGTATAAGTCAAACTTTTTTTCATAACAATAACAATTTGTTACTGAAATAATAAGCGAATTTTCGCGACTAACTTTCTGTAACTGAAAAGTATGATACTGGTAACATCCCCACCTAATGACAATGACGTAATCAACATACTGCGACGATTATCACGAAAATAATGTAATATGATTGACTGGCAAGAAGTGTGACAAGAACGTAAGAAAATATAACCTTGCAATTTGCAAAAACTGTGCAGCATTAAAGTTTTGGTGGAAAATGGAGCCACTCAGCGTAATTAATTTATGTGAACAGTACTTTTTTGATGCTGATGAACTTCTGTTGTGTAACTGGATTCCCAATAAAACAAATGCCACAAATTTGTATATAAAATTACGTGAAACCTATTACAAAGGGCCGATTGAAGAAGATTGGTTAAGAAATTACCATGACATCATGTTTTTTCGGTTTTTTCGAATACAAAAGTCAACGTTTTTAAACTTATTAAATGTTGTTCTGGAAAATGACAACCATAAGTTAATGAGGAAAAAATATCACGGGGGTAATTTACCAATACCACCTGAGAAGGCTTTGCTTACGTTTTTAACATATATGGCAACCCAAGAAAGTTTATTGTCAATTGGGCAAAGATTTGGAATTGTTCCATCAACTGCAATGAATATAGTGAATGCTTTGCTTTATATTATGTTAAAAATAAAGAAGAAATACATATTTTGGCCTCGAACTGATGAAGAGGTAGAACATGTAATAAACGGTTTTACTCATTATATTATATTTATAAAATAAAAAAAATATTTATAAAAAGTACCATTTAATAGAATCTGGGCAATATGTAATGGGACTACACACGAGTAGTCTTCTCCCTTACTATTTATAGAAATCTCCACCAAGTTCTCTTCTTCATTAGCTTCTGGTTCAACTATCATGTCTACAAAATGCAACTTGTGACATTAATTAGTGTTAAAACTTGTTTTAATAAGTTGACCTTCTGTTGATGAACACATTTTTTTTTCACAAATTAATATAAAATTGCACCATCAACACTCAATCAGTCTCAGAACGCAAATTAATTTATTAGGCGGCAAAGAAAATAACCTAACAAAACTTGAAACACATTAGACCCATTTGACAGATCTACATTTGGTTACCGCGAGATACATGCAACGTTAGGCCGTTAGTGCCAGTATGTTCATGGTAAGGTCGATATGACGTCACAACACCTTCTCCTCTGATACCTTTCCAAAGCGAAAATGTTAATGTTACACGTAATAAGATACCGTAACTTACTTAGTTAGTCGCGAAAATTCGCTTAATGCTTTGTTTCCTACAGGTAAAAAAAGCAAATTATAAGCAACAGAAAATAAACAAACTGAAATCTAAATAAAAGTGTGTATGATGTCATAAATAACGTAAATGTACCTATATAAAGAACATAACACTAAAACTTTCTATCTACCAAAAATAATAATACCAAATAAATATAAACTTCTAGTTTTAGTTAATACTTAGAAAAAAAGTCGAAAACTAGAGATGTATAGTTTTTTAAATAGCATATCATTTACTAGAATTATTTTTAACTATACAGAGTGTAATATCACATTAGGAAACTGAGACAAAAAAATGCTTCCCGCTTCTTCATCCATAACAAAATAAATCGAGCTCAATAACAAACAACGAAACGAAAATCTGAAAATTTCGTATGAAAAGTAAAGGTCGATTTATAAACTTACCGCTGACGTTGCTGTTCGCCGTTACGTTGCCGTTGACGTTGGGTTTTCAACCAATCAAATTGCGGTAGTGCAGTGCTGCCAACCTGAAGGAAAATCCCCTGAAATAGGGGGGACATTTTTTTAGTTAATAGAGCTAATGAGGTCCACCAATATTAAACCATTTAATCACCTGTTCACCGAAACCCTCATATTTTAAATAGCTGCCATCATTTTCTACACTATAGCTTTCTAGCAGTACTCATGCATTGTTAAAGATAGTCCTCGACGTTTAAATCGACAAGATTTATTGTTATTCGTCTCAAAAATAGATTAGGTATTACAACTACACTATTTTGCCCTTTTTTCGTAACACGTGTAGTCATCTTTTCACAATAATAAGAAACTTAAAATATGTTTAAAATGATAAATTTGTATAAGGAAATATCGATTTTGCAATTGCGCTCCACCCCTCGGTCTGACAACGAATGAAAAATTTGTTGTCGTCGAATTACTAACGGAAACGGTTTTAGAACAGGTTTATTTACAATACCAACTACAAAAATGATAACACGGCCCAAGGTTGTATGTGTATGTCCACGTGGAGGTCTTGAAGAGAAGAGGACGTCTGCACCCGGTGAGTGGTCGGAGAAGAAGAGGACGTCTGCACCCGGTGAGTGGTCGGAGAAGAAGAGAGTCTGTTTTACGTTTCCACCGTTTCCTCTTTGGGCTTGCGCGTTGTAACTGCCAATCCGGTGGCTGCATTATGTATGTATAACTGGTTGCCTACTTCCAGGCGGCCACAGTAGTCCCCTCCCAGTGACTACGTTTCGTAGTCGCGGAATTTCACTGGTGGCCTGGCTGTTCTTCCTGACCTTGTAGTGGTGCTCGTCGACGCAGGTGTTGTCGGGACCTGTTGCGTTGGGGGCTGCACATGAGGCGGAGTGCAGGACTCTGCCGATATGAAAGCCGGTTTTACTCGGTCCAGGCTCACTGTGGTTTCTCTTCCATTCATGCTTATAACTATCACCTTGTCTGTACGTCGTAATACGTGGTGGGGTCCGGTGTATGGTGGTTGTAGTGGCTTCCTGACTGAGTCATCTCTGAGGAAGATGTGGGAACAGTCAGACAGCTCTGGGTGGACAAAAGTCTTGTGGTGGCCATGGTGGGTTGCTGGTCTTGGTCGGACGTTGTGCATGTGGAGCCTCAACTTGTCGACGAAATTGCTGGGGTCGACTTCTGGCTCGTCGTTTGCGAAGAAAAATTCCCCCGGGATTCGTAGTTGCGTGCCGTAAGTCAGCTCGGCTGGGGAACACTGAAGGTCATCCTTGATTGTTGTCCTTAAACCTAACAGCACCGTAGGTAGGATGTCGTACCAGTCACTGGTCTCGTGGCACATGATGGCGGCTTTGATCGTTCTGTGCCACCTCTCGATCATCCCGTTGCACTGTGGTCGGTATGGCGTGGTTCGGCAACGTTTAGTGCCCAAAAGGTCTGTGAGGGCAGACATCAGTGTGGCCTCGAACTGCCGGCCTTGGTCAGTTGTAATACGGTGGGGGCAACCGAACCGCGCAACCCAGGTTGCGTAAAAGGTTTTCGCCACCGTCTCCGCCGTCATGTCCGTCATGGGAATTACTTCTGGCCATCGGGTGAACCTGTCTGTCATCGTGAGGCAGTACCGGTGTCCCTGTGATGGTGGTAATGGCCCAACGATGTCCATGTGTACATGTTCGAATCGGCATTCTGTAAGTTCAAAATGTTTTAGGGGTGTTCTAGTGTGCCTACTCACCTTTGACCGCTGGCAAGGAAGGCATTCGCGCGCCCATTTTTTTATGTTGCGTTCCATGTATGGCCACACGAAACTTTTATGTACCGCCTTGAATGTGGCTTTGCCGCCTGGGTGTGATTTAGAATGTACCATGTCAAATACCCTTTTTCGTAAGTGGAGGGGTATGTAGGGGCGAATTCTCCCCGTGGCTGTGTCGCACCAGATCGCCGTATCCGAGTTCATGGGTGTGAGATTCTGGAGTTTCAAACTGGTACTGGAATTCAGCAGGTTTCTCAACTCCAGGTCTTGTTCTTGGGCGGAGGCGAGTTCGTCTGGATCGATCACTGCTGCCGTGTGAACTTCGCTGATTCGGGATAATGTGTCCGCCACCATGTTGTTTTCGCCCGGTATGTGTTCTATCTCCGTAGTGAACTGACTGATGAAGTCGAGTTGGCGTAGCTGCCTCGGGGAAGCTTTCTCTGAGTTGTGTTTGAACACGTAAATCAAAGGCTTGTGGTCCGTTCTAACCGTGAAGACTCTCGCTTCTACCATGTAGCGAAAGAATTTGATGGCTTCGTATATCGCGAGCAGTTCGCGGTCGTACGTGCTGTACCTTCGTTGGGTGTTGGTCAACTTTTTTGAGAAAAATCCCAGGGGTTGCCAGTCGCCTTTAACCTCCTGCTCCAACACAGCCCCCATGGCTGTATCCGAAGCATCGGTGGTCAATCTTAAT